TATTTGGAAACCACCTGCAGATGAATATCGTTCGATATTTTATGCATTAATAGTGAAAAAATCGCCATCTATTGATGAATTTCGACAACAATGGGAAACTGATATACGATTAGATCGAGATACGGGTACTATCACTATTCCTGCACCATCGAAAATGATTGCAGATGATATCAAAGGAGTTCTACTAAGTTTGGGAGAAGAAAAAAAGTCTCGAATGAATCGTATATCTGAATTTATTCCTATTCAACGAAATATTCGTCGTTTTGTTAATAAAGCTATTGGTTTCTTGCTTGATGAAGCAAAAACTCAAAGAATTTTTGTAGAATGTAAAAATCCTAATGGATTGACGCTACATGGTCCTTCTGATATTATCACTGAAATTAAAAACAAGATCAATACTATTATCAAGGAAATTGAACAAAAGATCACTATACATCGTTTGCAATTATCATCGGCTGAATCAGGCTTAATTCGAGCCGATACATATAAACTAGCAAAAATTATTGAACGACAAACGAATACTATTATTAGAGATGTTGCACCAGATCAGACTAATTCTACATTAAATACTAATGATTACGATACTAACTCGACTTTAGCTGTTGTTATAAATAGTCGAGATCAAACAATTATCGTAGAGAAAGGTGATATCACAAAGATAAAAAATGTCGATGCAATTGTAAATGCAGCAAATGGACCATTGTATCATGCTGGTGGTGTCGATAAAACGATTGCTGATGCTGCTGGTCCTGCACTTGATCAAGAATGTAAACAATTAATTGCTAAGAATAGAGGTTTACCAATTCCTACAGGTAAAGTAGTCAAGACAACAGCTGGCAATCTTCCTTTTAAATGTGTTATTCATGCAATTGGTCCTCAATATATTGATGGTGGTCAACAAGAACGTCCATTATTATTCTCTAGTATCTTATCTAGTTTGCGACTTGCTGAATGTGAAAGTTATACAAGTGTTGCTTTGCCAGCCATTAGCTCTAAAACTTATGGTTTTCCATTAGCAGATTGTACAAATATTGTGATTCGTGCAGTAAAACAATTTTTTGCCGATTATCCACAATCATATGTGAAAAAAGTCATTCTATTAGACATGGATGATGCAGCTTGTAATTCATTTGCACATGAAGTTGTTATCGATCATAGAAATGCAATTGTAGATGATGATGATGATGATGATGATGACATTATGAACTATGAGTTACCTCTATTAACAGCTAAATGGTGTTGGCAAGACGATTCTGATGAGAAATTATACAATGATAATGATATACGCCAAATCGAAGAAGCATTTCAACAATATTTAAAAACTTCTATTGAAATAGAATCGAAAATAACTTGTGATAATTTAAGAAGCGCTACTATGGTAAGATATCGTATTCATTTTAATTCCAATTTGAAACAAATATTAAAAGACAACCCAAAAGCATTAAATAAACGGCTTGTTTGTGGTTACCAATTAAGGAAAAGTACTGGTAAACAACGAGCTATTATTCGTTATCCAGTGATACAACGAGAAAAAGCTACACCCGTTATGTATCATCCCAAGCAATTAGACTTATATGATTTGAAATCAATAACGACTGGAGTCTATTGGAATATTACTAGTATCACTGATGCAGCTGTACAACAGGCTAAAGTAGCAATTCAGAAAGCAATCGATTCTGCCACGGTTTCAGAGCCTTTCTCTATAACTCTCAATAAAGACTTTGATGTTCATAAGAAAGAACTCATCAATATTGCAACTCAACAGCATATCCAAATTGATTTTCAACAAGAATGTTCAGGACAACTATCAATGATATTAAAGGGTTTAAAACCAAATGTACAAGAAGCAAAATTAAAAATTACTTTGCATGCTCACGATACCTTGCAAAAGCAAGTAGATAACGATAATGAATTGCGCATACCTGAAGAATGGGGTGATCAAAACGAAGGATGCAATTTAGTTGAAATTAATAAGAATGATCCTACTTTTATTCGTATTAAGAACCGTATGAAAGAAACTATAAGTAATGTGAAAATCAATAAAATCGAACGAGTACAAAATGTATGCATGTGGAATCATTATGCATTTCGCCGTCGACAACTTAAAAAAGAACTACAAAATCTCCCTAACCTACAGATTGAAATGGAATTATTTCATGGAACAAACAGTACGGAACCCAGTGAGATTTACAATGGAGATTGTGGTTTCGATATGAGGTTTTGTACAAGTGGTATGTGGGGTATTGGTACATATTTTGCTAAGAATGCTTCATATTCTTGTAGCCGTTATGCTTATCAATTACCTAATGGCAAACAACAAGTTTTTTTAGCTCAAGTCTTGACAGGAGACGTGTATCATTGCAACAGCGATAAATCATTGCGTTTACCTCCTAAGAGCAAAACAGTGTCTGGTCTACGATATAATAGCGTGTCAGGCGATACACAAGGCAGTAGAGTTTACATTGTGTACGAAAATCGTGTGGCTTATCCTACCTATTTGATTACGTTTACTTCATAGTTTTTCAAACCTTTTATTGAACTTGTATTTCATACATGCATTTATCCCGAATATTTTCCTAAAGCTTTTCAATAAAACATGAACAGAATTTTAAAAAAAA